CTCAGTGTGGTTTCTAGGGGTGTAGACGAATTTTTTTATTTTAGCCGGCATTTGAGGTGTCCGTCAAGCCGCACACTCAGTGACACCCGTCCCTTAGCTTCTGCGCGGCATGATTTTCTGGCTCTTTCTCAGAGGCCAAAGCCAAGATCAAATAATGAGTCATGTTTTATCCAGGCTTCTAAGTGTGTTTCTACACAGCACTGATTAAAACAATAGCTGGAACTTTAGTTAAGTCATTGGACAGGTTAGCAAAACTGTTTCCAAGGTTCAAGAATTCTGTCTCATGGAGAGCAGAGCACGTCTGAGAAAATGGCCTGGATTTTACACCCAGCCTCTTCAGCTTTGATCAGAAGCTAATTGTAGTTGCTGGGCTGGGCTAGACCGGCCTCGGAAATAGGGATTGAACAAAGCACCCCGATCACCTTGGGACTTTTCTCTTTTCCTGTCTGCCTGGATACTGCCCATTCCGAGAACTGTAAGAAGCAAATAAAATAATTACTGCGCCATATAAGCTGAACAATGCCGGCCACGTAAAGGTAAGGATTTTACCATTTAGATCCTTTCTCTCCGGGCCAAGATGTAGGATGTGGAAGCCTGGCAGGGCCTCCCAGTTTTAAGCCTTCGTTAAAGAGTCTGAGACGCTGGCCCTAAAACCTGGCGCTGGTGACTCAACTGTCAGCGTGGGTTTAATGCTGTCCCTGGCAAAGACTCAACTGCAGGATGTGCTGATTTGCAATCCCCTCTCCAGGGTGGCCCGTTGCCCCTGCAGGATAAAGGTATCTCTGGATTCTCTGAGGCGCGGCCTGTACTCCAGCATCCTATAATTAGGGCAGAGCATTTGGTGAAAGGGTGTGTTCCCATGGGACGGGGAGGCGAGCGCGCAGGGGACGGCGTGACCCCTGGCCTGTGGCGAGAGCTGTGCTGTGGTCAGCGCTCGGCCTGAGCTGCAGGAGTTTGACTCTCTGAGTCAGATAAGAGTGAGTCTCAGGAGAGCTCAGTTGTTTCTTAAGGTGAAAGGTGAAACCCCGAGGGTGGGATGAAGTAACTGAAGGTGGTAATTAAGATGCTTTGAAAGAAGACGAGGGAGATTTCCTGAGGGAGATTTCCTTGGTGAGAGGAGGAGGCGTGAGGGGCAGTGGGAAGGCACCGGGGGTGGTGGCCAAGGACACTCAGGACAGACGTATCTGAGTGTGCAATGCTTTGCTGTGAGGTCTCTTTATCCGAGTCCCATGGGTCACTAGTGATGTCCTGCAGTAAGAAGAGGGGCTGACTCCTGCCTCTGGGCTGGCTGGGATCAAAACAGGGGCTTCTATATAACGATGCCGAGAACAGCATGGCGGTTCCTCAAAAAATTCAGCATAGAACTATCACATGATCCCAGTCCTACTTCAGCATCACGCAGAAGTAAAAGCAGAGACTCGAACACACACTTGTACATATGTGTCCACAGCAGCGCTGTTCACAAGAGCCCAGAGGGGGATGCAATCCAAGCGTCCGTGGATGGATGCATGGACACACAAAATGCGGTCTATACATGCAAGGGAATATTATCCAGCCTTAGAAAGGAAATTCTGACATGTGCGACAACAAGGATGAACCCCGAGGACATTATGTGGACTGAAATAAGGCAGTCACAAAAGGACAAATATTGTACAATTCCACTTACATGAGGTACCCAGCGTAGTCAAATTCTTAGAGACAGTAGATACTGGTTGCCAGGGCTGGGGGCCAGGAGGGGGAACAGGAAGTGATTATTTCATGGACACAGAGTTTCAGTTTTGCAAAATGACAAGCGTTCTGAAGATGGCTGGTGGGGACGGTTGCACAACAAGCTGAAAGTACTTAACGCCGCTGAACTGTACGCTTCAAAATGGTTATGGTGGCAAAATTTCATGTTCTGTGTGTTTTAACACAACTGAAAAAAATCCCGGGGGAAAAAGCCTCTTAGCCCGGCCCATTTCGCTCAGGTTTTTTGGGGGGGCTGAGGAAGCTCCTTTCTACATAGATTTGGCTTGATTCCCACAGACTTATCGCTTAATCAGGGACTCAACTTGGGGTTTAAGGCATGGAGTACCCCTGGAGAATTCCTGTGCGGCCCACAGAGTAGGTGGGGGCGCGGCAGCACCGCAGCTCTGCCTCGCAGCCCTGGGGCAAACACGGCTTCTCTGAGCATCAGGTGAAATAGTTGATTACATTCAGGGGTCATGACAAAATGTGTCTTCCAGGTGACTCCTTGGCAGGCTGCTCACACCGTGAGATGCCCTTAGAACCCAGGCCTGCTGGGGCAACTGCAGATTCCCAGCCCCAGCCCTCACTGGCGCTCCAACAAGCAGCGTGACCAGAAGTGCCTTCCTACCCACAGCGGCCTCCCTCCTCTCCTTTCCCTTATGCAGGGGTGACGGCCTCCAAGCTCAGTGGGTGTGCAGGGTGGCTCCAGCGAGGCGGCCTTTGTCCAGTCCAAGGAAAGTGCACAGTGCCTTACCATCTCCCCTCTTTCAGCGACTCTGATGGGTTTTAAATCCTAAATTGTTCTCTGACCTTTGACCAGATCTATTAGTCATGGAAAAATAGCCCCTTTCCCCCATCAGGCATCCCTGCCGACCGCCATCTCACAGATGCTTCCAGACACCTGCTCAAAATGGGAATTCTCCAACTTTAAAGGATCTTTTTGGACTGAAGGTCCAATTCCTGAGGCCAGTTCCTTGGTTCAAATCTGAGCCACAGGGTTCCTAGATTTCAAAGTGATCTATCTTCAAATTACAGAATACCCCCAAAGAGAAGTGGTTCAAGCAAAATTCCCGGAAGACCATGTTAAATAAAGTCGTGGTTTGGGCTGGCACTGCCTTTCTGGCAAAGTTGACCCCCATCTCCTTCAGAAGGGCACAGGCAGCACCTAGCCCACTTCCAGGCATGGCTGGAGGCTCTGAATAAATGAATGAATGACCAGCCATCTATGGCCAGCCCACCATCATTGATCTGGCACTCTTCTAGATGAGTACAATTTCTGATTGGCAATGCATCTGAGATGTGATGCCCAAGGATTGAGAGGTAAACTAATGAACTGGATGCTATGAACTTTAATCCCAATTTTGCCATTAAATGCTTTGCTGATCCCCAAGGAAGACTTTCTATCCTGGCTTCACTCATCTATAAAATCTGGATAAAAGAGATCTGTAGAAGTCCATCAAAAAATGAAAGCAAGAAAATAGAACAATGAAGTGCTTACAGGTGAAGTCGCTAATTTTGCTGCCCTGCAATGCACTTGATTCCAAGCCTGAAGAGGGGAAAAGTGAGAACGTTGGTATTCATTTGCATAACCAGGAGCAAAGTCCATCTGGGACCTCATGGTTGGTTTTTCTATACTGGTTTGGCTCCAAGCCCCAGGTGAACAGCACAGCTGAGCATGAAGACACAAAAATACCAAAACATTAACCACTTACAAGCAGAGCCAGAGAGAACAGTTAGAAGGCACTGGATCTCCTGCCAAGTCAGAGCAGGTGGTGACCTGGCTCAGTGATGATGTGTCATTAATGGAAAACGCTTTGCACTAGGAGCCTGAGGAGAACCCCCAGAGCTCTGGACACCATCTCTGCCACAGCACAACTGTGAAATTGAGCAGCCAACTGAAATTCTTCCAGATTCAATGAAACTGCCTCGCTGATATGTTCAGGGCTGGCTGTGTGGTTCCAACAAAGTTAACATGTAGGTGAATTTTGGAAATTGTCAATATTAAGCCAGGTGAGGAGTTATTATTACATCCCTTCCTCAATAGAAAAAGCACTGAGACACTAAAAGGATCATGAAGCGTCCACCAGGTCACTGAGAACAGAACTGGTTCCACGCCCCAACACCCCAGCTCTACCTGGAGGTGCAGAACTGAGTGGTCAGAAGTTTGGGCTCTGAGGTCTGACTGTCTAGGCTCCTAATCCCAGCTCTGCCTCTGACTTCGCTGAGCCTCTGCCTCTTCGTCTAGAAACTGCGGCCAGTGACGGCGATATTACTTCAGGAGCTGCAGTCAAGATTAACTGCTGCGTGTTCATATACTCTGTGTCCCCTCCCCACAAATTCATGTGCTGAAGCCGTAACCCCCATTGTGACAGTATTTGGAGGTAGGGCCTTCATGAGATAATTAGATATTGAGGTCATGAGGGTGGAGCCCCTTGACAGGATGAGCGTCCTTATAAAAAGAGGAAGAGGGACCAGAGCTCTCTGTCTCCATCAAGTGAGGACACAGTGGGAAGATGGTCACCTGTGAGCCAGGAAGAGGGTCCTCACTAGGAGCTGCATCAGCCCACACCTTGATCTTGGACTTCCAGCCTCCAGGACTGTGAGAAGTAAACGTCTGCTATTTAAGCCTCCGTACTTTGTATGCAGTCTGGGCTGGCTGATACCTACCCAAAGAGCTTAGAACAGCGCCTGGCTCATAGTAAAACATTCAATAAATATGAGTATGTATTTAGGTTTGGCTCTTTTGAGACTTACTAAGAAATATTGCAGACATTCTTAAATAGGACAGCATGCCCCCTACCCAACATATCACCAATGGAGTTGAAGCCCCTGTTTACCTTCCCCAATTGCAGTCCTCCTTCCCCCCACGGAGGTAACCATGCTCCTAAATTTGGTATTTATCATTCCCATGAATTTCTTTATACCTTTATATATATATATATATAGATATATATATATCTGTACATATCTGTAAATACTGTGACTGAGCTGGAAATACCTTTAAGCCAGGACTGACACATCTTCCAAAAGGATTCAGACACAGTCTCTAGCTTAGCACAAAGGATTGTTTGGCAATACATCATCTGTCACCTCACTTTCTATATCTTTTCACCTCCCTGAGCTGGCAATGTGCTACTATCTGTAGGTGGACCCCAAATGGTGATGCAAGCCATTCATTAGGGCCCCTTTTCAACAGGTCTGTGCTGGTCAGGGACTGGACCCCCCCCCCCGAACCCAGCTCGGTGCTGACGCCTCCCCTTCCTCCCTTCCAGATGGAGATGCGGCTGCAGGACCAGCAGCTGGCCCGGCAGCTCATGCGCCTGCGCAGTGACATCCACAAGCTGAAGATCGAGCAGACGTGCGACCTCCACCGGAGGATGCTTAACGACGCCACCTACGGGCTGGAGGAGCGGGACGAGCTGTCCGACCTCTTCTGCGACGCCCCGCTCGCCTCCTCCTTCAGTCTCTCCGCGCCACTCAAGCTCATTGGGGTCACCAAGATGAACATCAACTCCCGCAGGTTTTCTCTGTGCTGAGAAGCCCTGGAAGGAGCGGAGGAGCCAGAACGAGGGTTTTAGGGGCGGGCGGGGGGCGTGGAGAGCTTAGGCCCAGCTACCTACGTGGGTCTCCCTGGAGGTGGGGGGTCCCCAGGACCTGTCGGCAGGTGTTTTGGGGGGCCCAGCTGTGGAGCCCAGTGTCCCCATGCCTGGCTCTGGTTTAATACCAAGAGAGTCCCGCAGAAGGGCTACAACCTCTGATGTTCAGTGAGGCCAGGTCCCCAGCACGGCACATCTCACCCTCCCCTCGTGACCCGCATTCCTGTTTCCTAGAATCATTGGTGCTATGACCTGGGAACCCAAAGGAGGGCCCCCAAAGCTGTGATTCTTGCGGAAAGCTTCCCCAAGGGCACCAAACCCCAAGGGGGAGGTGATCAGATATGTGCCAGCTCACTGTGCCAGCCTTTAAGTACTGGCTCGAGTTCACCCTAAGCGGGTGACTCAGCCAGCTCGACGGGGACCCGCCAGGACAGAGCTAACACATGGAGTGTGGGAGCCAGGCCCCAAAGCCACAGTCATTGCTGCCCCCACCCTCACCGTGAGGTCTTGGCTCTGGCCCTAGAGGTGCCATGTTAAGTGTTTCCAGAGTGTGTGGTCACACCAGTGTGACCAAGGGTGGAGCCGGCACAGCTGCCCTCTGCTGCCTACTCTGGCCACATGCACAAGTCCCAACCTCCAAAGAGCCCCCTTCCTGCCACCCACAACCCCGGGGAGCAGGTTTCCCGGGGCCAGCAGAGGTCTCCTGCTGGACTCCAACGGTGTCCCCACCGGCACCTTCGTGCCCTCCCCAGACACTCGCCCTGAGCCACCTCTTGAGATTCTGTGCCTGACTCAAACAACTGATTTTAATTGAATCAGACTTACAAATCTGTTGCTAACTTGTTAATAACCGTTTGATTTTTGTCCAAATGGCGAAGCCAGTGGGTAGGTCAAGTCAGAGGTTCAGGTTTGATTTTTAAAGGTTCTCCCAAAAGACAGGTGCGAGGATTAGCAAGGTGAGAAGTGAGACCTTGACAGGTTGGGGGGGGGGGGTTGACCCTTGACCTAGCTAGTCAAGCCCTCTGGTTCATAAATAGAGTGAGACCAGGGGAGAGCAGCCTCCCTCACGCTCCACAGCTCTTTAGTGGCTACAGAATATTGATGTGTTAAATCATTATGAATGAGGCCTACACAGATCACGTATCAATGATCTTGAACTCCAAAGATGGTACAAATGCTTTGCCAAACCCACGAGCTGCCAACCCACCCAGCCTCCACCTCAGTCAGCCCCGCCCCCTCCTGAGTTACAGTTCCCACCACCAGTCACAGTTCCGCAGTTGAGTGAGGTGTCCTGCTGCTCTTTCATGCTTTGTCTTCCTGTATAAGGTTGCTGGGGCCCATGCACACTGACACACACACACACACACACACACACACACACGCCACGATCCACACTGGGAAAAGTGGGAGGGTATAAATGACCGGTCCCTAGTTAGACAGAAAAGAATTTGGTGTTTCCTTGTGATTTCAAAGAGCCGAAGGGTTTATGCTTCCTCCAAAGGGATAACCACATAGCCAAGATTTATTTTGGGCCTGACTCGAAGCAGTGCAGAAGTGGCAGAAGTCTGAGGGTTCGTCCCCAGGGAAGGCCTCAGTGGAAGGCCACGCTCGCCTCAGGCCTGTTCCCCCTCAGGCAGGGAGGAAGGAGATTTTCTCTGCCTGGTGATCTCTCTCCTCAGGATTACGGACGAGCACTGCCGGGTCCCCCAGAGGCGTGGCTGCACGCTTCTTTGAGAAGAGTCTCTGGTCGTGGGCGCTCAGGCTGGCCTGCACACACTCACACTCACTCTACAGAGACACGCACATACACACACTCTGCACACTCGGACCCACACAGGCAAACCCATTCTGTCTTTTGGGGAAAAAAAAAACCCACACTGATTATTTTTCCTTCTAGAAATCAGTCATGCTAGTAACTGAAAAAGCTTGATCTAGCTCAGGCTGAGGGATTTCACTGAATTTCTTCACCCCAACTGAGTCAGAGGCAACTGGGCAATTGAGTTGCTCAGTTAACCTACTGATTCCGTCCTTGCTTTGTTCTCTACGATCAAGGCAAGGCACACACTTTTTGGAAGAGGTGAGATGTCTCAGCTATTTTGCTTCGTTCATCCCAAGGGAATTTTATTTAGGGGTAAGGGAGGAGGGGCTCAGGAAGAGGAGTGAAGAGAAAAGACAGGTGTTTTCTTACTCATTGTCCAGTGTCTGTTAGCATCCTTATTGCCACAGTGAACACAAACAACTCACCAAGTCAGTTCAGCTCTGTGCAGTCCCTGCCTCACGTCGTCGGTCCAGAGACGGCTGAGTCAGTCACAGCCTAGCCTGCATCACCAGCTCCCCAGGCAGCCTGCGGGCTTACCACGAGTACGTGATGCGGTCGCAGTGTTACTAATTAACTACCCATCTCTCTGCTGCCCCCAAGGCCCCCTGGGTGTAAAACTCGAAGTCTCCTTTGACACTGCCGAGCGGGCTGATGTCTGATGCCTTCGTGGGCTCGGCAGGGACCACAGAGGCCTGGGGAGCCCGGGCCTGACCCCGCCCCAGGCCTCCTCCCTGTAGCAATACCAAGTGCTATTACACAATCGATGGACAGTTTATAATTTTATTTTTTATGATTATTTGTTTCTATATTGCTGTTAGAAAAAGTGAAGTAAAGATATTTCAAAGGAAGCTATTTATAAAGAGGAGAGATGTGTTTCCTTTTAACTTGTTTTGTTACTGCACGCACAGGACCGAGCACTGAATTGAAAGAAAGAGAGGGAGGAGGGTAGGAGGAGAGAAAGGAGGAAGGGAAGGAGGGAGGGGAGCATGGAGGGAGGGAGGGAGGGACGCAGGGAGGGAGGGGAGGATGGAGGGAGGGGTGCAGGGAGGGAGGGGAGGATGGGAGGGGAGGGGACGCAGGGGAGGGAGGGGGAGGATGGGAGGGAGGC